CGAGTATAATGTAAGTACCAATTGTAACCTTTGTGGTTTGACGTAAAGTTTCACCAAATGTGCCCATTGCATGGGCGCAACTATGACATCATTGAAAGCTTCTGCATTCCTTTCTAAAAATGGGTAACAATTCATCCCTGATGCATAGAAAACGCAAAGCGCATTTTGATGGGATAAATGACGGCTTTGGAAGGTCTAAAAAGTCTTGTTGATCCTGTTTGAAGGCTTTAGAACTCAATGAAAGAAGCTTTTTTATTTATGAATTGTTTGGCGAAGTGATCATTGAAGCCCTCGCAAAGCGAGACATGTGATTTATCGCCAATCCACACCGCGGCGCGATCACCTGGCCGAGATGATCTCTACCCTTGAGACAATGAATATTTTTAGTTTAGTGTCGGGTCATGAGTTTGCGGAAGGGCTGTTTCGCTTCCAAGTTTCATTGCGAAATAACCATTTCTTGCAGTGGAGAGCTAGCTTTTTTCTAGAAGATGTCACTGATCGTTCTTGGGACTCCCATGTTCCCTACCAGGGGATTCTGAGCTCAAAAGGGAACTGCCCAGAGGCCAAAAGAGCCTAGTCTAAGGACTGGGCGCCCGGCGGCGGCCTGCATGCTGCTGCTGTCCTGGCGTGCGGCGCTCCGTCAGCTGTGCCCGGTAGCATTTCGTTCGCATTCGCTCGGCAAGATGCGAGCGGTGCGGCCGGAAACGACGCCGGACGATCGCCTCCAATGGACCGAAGCTTCCGACGATGTCGTCGGCGACACCGGCGACGCTGATGATGCCGGCGATTGTGACGTTTCGGCTTCATTTACACTACCTACTGCGGCATTTCCTTTTCAACCGTCAGTCAGCACTGTCAGCACACCAATCGACGACCTTGACGAGATTGACGATGTGGCTTTTTGTAAGTGCAAAAATCTGTGCTTGATTTTGTTTTTTGTTTTTTGGAGTCGACATGGTCCCTTCGTGATTTTGCTGATATCCCATGGTTAGCTGCGAATGATTTGCAAAAAACAAGTCCTTGCAGTCTAAACGCTGCAGTCAGAACTTTGCGATCTTGTTTAGGCTAAACACGCTACCTTTCACTTCGAACTATTTTTCTTCTTCACATTTTATGCATTGCTATCCGCGTTTTTTTCCTCCTAGAAAATCTAGGCTAAACATTCTCGAATAATCCTCTTGTAATATGATGTTAAAAAACTACATGAAGCACATGAAAAGCTGTGTCTGAGCTTATCGTTTTGCAGCAGGCAGTTGTCAAAATCGATGCTCTGAGCACTTGCGATTCAGGCTTTTGTTTCAATCTTGTACGGATCGACTCTTGTGACAGGAGCGATGTGGAGTTGGAGCACGTTATCGGCAACAAATTAATCTAGTCTGCAAACTGTCTGGAAACACTGGAAAAAAACTTTGCTCTATGATGCGATCTGACTCATCTTCTTTTTTTTCTGACTCGGCGTAAAAACTGTGGAAGAAGCCTGAAAATCCGTTTCGATTCCAGGAAAAGCTGACAATCTTGTTATCCCATCTTCCAGCTGTAACCTTCATTCCCAGACGTTTGATTAGACATCAAAATTGTCGAGAATGGCTTGCTGATGTGTTCGCTGCACCTGGCTCTCTCAGCATTACAGCAAAGCATATGTCTCAACAGCCTTTATGAGTGTTTCTACTGTAGCACTCGACCACACTTACCTGAACTGAGTTTACCAATGCTTAGGCAGTCTAATCGCTTTTGTAAAGTGAACAGTTCGAGATCTGTGAGTTTAGATCTGTGATTCAAACTACATCATAACTCATAAAGTGGTGACAGTTTTTTGTGGCGGTTATTTTTTACATCTATCTTGGTTTTTGGCATCCAAATTTTTTTACACTTATACTGGTTTTTTTTGCATTCGACTATAATGCATTCGTTAAGATGCGCATATATATGGTTACTTGCTGATTTAAAAAATGTTACAATTTTTGCGATCTTACAAATGGAGATCCGATTGAAAAACCGCAACCCGACCTTTTTTTCACCTTCCAGGGGGGAAAATTTCGTTTCGCCAGGGCGTACCTTTTGTCTCAGCTAATCTATCTGGTAAGAAGCTCCCGTGCAGATAAACTTTAATTTTTTTCTAAATTTACAATTTTTTTCAATCCTCCTCGGAATTTTAGACCAAAAGGCAAGTTGTTTCAGTAATTTAAATTGCGAACTGTATCAAACAATATAATTTCTCACATACCTTATCATGTGAGAGTTAGCGCATTTCTTCATTTTTCCTTAATTCTTTCCTCAACGTTTTCCTGACTCTAGTCGTAACTTGCGATTAGTAAATTTATAGACTAGAGAACCAGCACTATTGCAAAAAAAGCTTCTGCTCAGAAGTGAAGTGCTAATTGCTAAGTGAGATGTCCCTAAAGTATACCTGGATCTCGAATTTCGACGGCAAAAATAGTAGTGCACAAAAAGTGCTCCGATTTGTTGGGTGTACAATCAGCTGCGAGAACGCTTAGCAGATTCTTGGATCTTGCCAACAATCATTCCATGCATTCTGACGCTTAAGTGACGAGTAGTAACTTCTGTAATCTATAGCAAGTTATAAAAAAAAGAGATATGCTAATTCGAAGATGACTGTCAAATACTATAGATCCTATTTTCATGTTTTCCTTCTAAGAGTGAATTCAAATGATCTTTGGAGAATGTGTGACTGATTCTGACAATTAATCAAGGTTGGCAGCTATTCCGTACTTAAAACCTTTCATTAGTGAAGTGAGCAAGAGGCTGACTTTAGAATCTGAACTTCTCAAAATTTTCAGCCCCATATCAACTTTCTGGAACTGTGCTTTGTATTATTTTTTTTGATAATGTTCATTTTCTTATTAGTTGGTAGGGCTGTCATGTGCTGTTGAAAAAGCACATTAGTTCAGAAACTCTGCTAAGTCGTGCGTTTATTTGCTGTGCAAACCGATTACATTTTTCCTTGGTGTTGACTTCCTGTGAAGATGTATGCTTGCAAAAATGCTATCAAAAGCTAGTCGCTTGTGTTTTCGAGAAGTTTATTTATAGGAGCCAACTAAAAGATCTTTTGTTGCAAGATGTAAGATAAGAAACTTTGTTGCGGGGATTAAGAATAGCTTAAATGTGTGCCTTGAATTGAGCCTAAGTTCTTAATAAAAATTGCCCTCTTCATTCTTCAAGTTTCAGAGACTTAAAACCACTATCTTATTCACATAGTTTTTGGAAAAAAATCTTATTGTCATCTTAATCAAATCATTGTGATTTTTGGAGAATTTGCTATGGAAGGAAAATTTTTGACACCATGTCATATCACTGGAAGCTCTACTCCAGTTCTTAATTTAGTTGACTTGCCTGAGTGAAAGTCTTCAGTTTTATCTTATTAAAGAAGCACTCGATTTTTTTACTCAAATTGGAGGCCTTTTTCGTGTATGCGGGAGGAATATCTCGAATTCCTGTGAAAATCTCAAGTGTTGAATTGTGACCTCTACCCCACCATTTCATTGAACTTGTTGATTTCTCTTTAGGGGTCGTTCAGACCAACCAAGGCAAAATGGCCAAGCGCGCATGGAGTCTTGCAAACAGGAAACGACATTTTGCAAAACACTATTTAGATTTGCATACCTTCAGAAATCTATTGTGCAAGCTATTTTTGCTTGTCATTGAGAAGTTTTGTTTTGCTGAATTGGACATTGTCAGACCATAAAGCAATATCTTCTAGGACTGAGAAAGGCTGGTTTTTTGAAGCGATTTTGAAAAGTGAAAAGTGCTAAAATAGCTCCATAGCTCCATACGCTTTGACTCATTATTCAAACTAGTAGCGCCCGAAGTTTGTAATCTGGAGCAATTACCTCTGATCATAGGTGTTATTATACTATTCAATAAGCATTGTATCCTGCCATTATGCTACAAATCCCCTTCTTGCATTTCGAAAATGCTGCATCGCAAAAGGAAATAGTTCGAAACGAATCTCTCACACACTTCGATCTGACGATTAATTGGCTGCTGGTACGCACAGCAGCCGCACAGCAGAGAGAAGAGTGGGTCTTTTGTCGTGCGAATCATCAGTTACGGATGACATGCTGTGGCGTTTTTGACGCCGTCATGGTTCATTTTGTCACCGCTCTTAGAGAGCCTATCCAATTATCAGGTATCCTCTATATTTAGCACACATTTTCATTTGAGCCGGCCAGCAGCATGGCAGCCGCGGTTTCGTACAAATTAGTGTGTGCAAAAACGGCAGCAGGCAGCACGCAAATGCATGTCACATAGGAATTTTTGGTGTTTTTTGTCATAGCATTTGTTTGTAAGGAATATAGGCGCTAGAAATGTTTCAAAACGTATATTGGACTGTAGCTGGCTTTTTTCGAATTTGACTGATCATCGGAGCTATTTCCGAAGCTTTGCTATGTTCGTACAGTCGTTTCCCCTCCCCACTCAATGTCATTACCGTAGCACTCTGTCTACCGTATCCTCTTACCACACACGCCACCCATCAGACTGTACCGTCGCGCGAACTGTAGCACAAAGCGCGCGGCAAACAACGCGCAACGCCCGCAAATGCGAACTTCGCGACGCCATGGCAGGCCTTACGAAGGCTACGGCGCCTCAGGCGGCTTCACCGTAAGCCTTAGGGCTAGCCGATGACGTCGTGAAGAGGGAGTAATGCAGCGATGAGGGTGAGGAGAAACGGAAGAGAGTAGGCGCACGCGAAGCGGCAGCGTCGCGGCCAGCCAGCCCAATACGGGTGCTCCGGCCCCGGCCTGCCTGAGGCAAGATATGTCCTCCAGCAACAAGAAACTTCAGATCAAGTTCTGTAAGTCTTTGTGGCCATTTCAGCTATTCTATGTGTCAAATGGGCCCATCCTGGCTTGCTAAAGTTGTGGTTCGGCGCAGGCGCCGGGGACTGCAAGCTGGCCGCTGATTTTTTATAAAAAAATAATTTCCTTGCTCTATTTCTGTAGGAGTGATTCGTTCAGCACATCTAATGAATATTTTTTCAGTCAAAGAATTTCTGGAGAAAGCTCGAGAGGACTTCAAGCAGCGATGGGAGAACCCAGCACAGGTGAGTACTGTATCCTACCTTCTTCAATTTTTCAATTGGAAAAGTAACTTTCCATATTCTTTTTGGACTTGTATACCTTATTTTTGTCGCTATTCCCTCTGCCATCGGTTCTACAAATCTTCCAAGAATTGTAATTTTTTGTCTGGAGCCGCAAACTATTATCAGCAGAAGAAAAGTGCTAAATTCATTCCCATTATCCCAGTCTTTACTCTTCTTGTCTTCTCCATTTGTCCTTAATTACTTTTATACTCTCCGATTTTTTTCTGTATTTTTTGCATGTATGGACGGCAGATTGTTGTCTGCCTGAACTGCCGTGCCTCTTCAGTTTCTCTCGTGACTTTACCCTCACTCACACGCGTGTTTCACCTAATCAAATTGCTCACAAAGTCGTCGCACATCCGAACGCGAGTCGGCCCCGTTCCTTCCCGAATTTGCCTCGAAAGCAGAGCGCAACCAAGACAAGACAACCACTTCCTTGTTCCTTTCAGCTGAGCTAATGCCTCAGCCCATAACCGGATGCATTTTGCTCGTTCGTCGTCGTCGCTGCGCTCTCAGATGTGTCTATTCCGGTCTCTGCTCACAGTCATTGCGAGTGCGAGATGAATGCGGTAGATATCGATCTGGCCAATGTCTATTTTTATCCCCGGCGTGTGCAACCCCCTCGCCCCGACACACACGGACGGGGCACGGGCTGCTGCGGCACTCGTCGAGAGCGTAATTTCATACGTGAGAGTGTTCCAACCCGTCGCAATCGCTGGCTAATTGGAAAAGCTTCGAGCAAGCGATGTCTCGTCGTCGACACTCGAAGGCTAGTCGAGCTCTGGCCTGAAGCAGCCTGGATTGCCGAGCGTTTAGGGTAACATCTGGACAGCTCTGCTATAAATTCTCTGCTCACGGGAGGCGCAGCAGGATAGGGAGGCATTCAGCTGCTTCAGTAGATTTATCGCTTCTATAATTACATTTCTAAAGGTCGGCACGCATTCCGATGCTTCTTTGATGTATAAAGTAAAATGCATTGAACGCACACCCAGGGGAAATTGAATACGCCGTCTTATCCTTATTTTGTCCTTTTGAGTACAAACCGATGTCGAGAAAAAAAAACAGAAAATGTTAGGAGAGGATTCAGGATTTTTCGTACGATTTTGCTGCAAAAACCTCGTGTTTTAAAAAATTTGGTTTTTCTGACCTTGCCCATGGGCATATATGGCATTTGATAAATATCGCATGACTAGAATATTATCGTCTCATAGATGCTCATAGTACTAATGGTAAATCTTATCCCTCGAAATCTTAGAAAGAGTACTAAAGACGCAGATTCTTTGGAATTCTGCTTGTAAATTACCACTTTCTAACTTAATTTGAGCCATTTTTATAAAAATGTATGTGTACGGTATCAGATGTTTATGATTACCGACGTTGGAATAATTTGAGCTTTTCAGAGTTTTACAGAAAGAAAAATCGCAAAGTTATCTGCTGAGGAACTAAATCGAATCGTTGCTGTTATTTAAGTGAGCCAAAGATAAAATACAACATGTTGTTGAAAATTTTTGAGGATCCAGCAAACGAAGGCCGTGTTTCGCATAAAAAGTTATTTTTCAAACATAAAACAATCTAAGCTCAAATTCAGTCAACAAAGATCGTTCCATTTGTGCTTTGCGTTACAATGCTCGTTAAAGCTGTGCAGCTTTTCGAACGGATATTTTGCAAATTCTGCCCTCGTAACGTTGTTTTGCTTACAGTGAACACTACGCTTTTTACACTCGCAATCTTTGTATGGACCAGTAATGAGATCTCACCTTTATCACATGTTTGCATCCGCTTTTCATATTTGCAATCAAAAGTTTTCAATTAGTGCAGTACTTTTCGTAAAGTGCAGTACTTTTCGTAAGGGAGATGTATGATGCATGACGTTTGATTCGACTCAGTCCAGATTTCCTCAAAGTCTTTTTTTCTCTTGACTATCCTTTCTACTTTCAACATTGCTATAGCTTGAGTTTGGAAGGGGTTTTCCAAGGGGATACAAGCGCTGGTGCGATTTGGACGGGGAGAAGCAATATCAAAAGAGAATGTTTTTTCCTTCAGATGAAAATTTGGACTTTTTACTTCGTATTTTGGAGAAAATTACCATTGAACTTCTGCAGGCAGGTGAAATTCTAGGAAAAATTCTTGCTACAATGTCATTTTTGAGATGAAGAAGCCGGGTCACGAATTGTCTTAACATTTGTTAACAACGTTCATTGTTGCTTTGTCTGTTTTCTTTTATTTATGCGCACCTTGACTGTATTGAAAATAAAATATAACAAACAAAATAAACATTTATTCACAATCATCAATCCATAAAAGGTCTTGATGCTGGAAAGAGAAGAATACATTATTTTACAATCGTTCTGATTGAAGAACTTGTTCTGTTCACCGCTATAAATACCTAGGTTTTGAGCATTGACGTGTTATCTCGTGAAGAATTTTGCTAAAAGCGGATCAATTTTCTGAAGATTAAGTACTATGTAATTTGAAACTCCGCATCAATACGTCGACATCTGCACATTTCAATAGTGAGTACATTAGCTCCTTTTGCATTAGATTCAGCATTCAGGCACGCCTAATTGACCATTGCATTTGTGAGATCCGCTCTCAACTGATAAAGAAATTCTCATGTGATTCCTTAGTATTCCATTATCGCTGCATTCATTGCAATGAACAAGCAAATTATAAGCATTCTTGTGCATGTCCAGCTTATCCTCGATGTACGCATTCCAAAGACAGATTTTGTTTCCTGAGAAAATGAAAAGCATCTGCTGGTTAGACATCATGGAACAACTCTGATCTTAGCGGGAGCGGGCAACTCTAATGCTTGATGGACATTTATGGAGAGAGCATAGCTTTTTATAGCCTGTCCTAGATTGAGTAGAATTAGGAGAACACCAGAAACGTCCGAGAATGTTTTCGAACGCAGAACTAAGCTTTCCACAAAAATTGTGGAAAGCTTAGCTCTGTGAAAGATTCTGCATAAAAAAATCCTTACAAAGCTAGCATGAATTCTGGAGTCTTCCAGAAATCATTTTGGTTGCTTACAAATGAAAACAGATTATCCTGGAAAGGAGCGCTAAATTGCTAAGGCTAAACTTTGCCTCTCCGTGACAGCACCCGGTAAAGGACGTAGGTAAGTAACTAAATCGATTAGTAGAATAATTTTCCAAATCAGTAACTAACTTGTACTCACTGGGGGGGGGGACTAGGTGGGGGAGGACGGAGGGGTAAGAGCGAGAACGATTTGGTCCCTTTGATAAGAGCAATGCGATCACTTTTTATGAACCTGTCGATTTCTTTTTCCGTCCAATTAATCAATTAAATCGAGTTAGGATGAATTATTTTTAATATACATAGTTCCTCGTTCAATAATTTTTAATAAAGTCACGGGACAGACTTCCCAATTTTATTACAGTTTTTTCTTGTCACGCTCTGCGTATGACATATTTGTTGTTATAAAATGTCATTCAGTTTATTGATTGAATGGCTAATTTCACGCTTTGATTAGCCAAAAGCTCCAAGATATCAGTCTGCTGTTAAGATTCGCCCCCGTGAAAAGAATCTCATCCTGCGATGATAATGGTCAATTCGTTCCTTGTTGGTCGCTGCGATTTATTCATATGTAACGTAAATAGCACAGACGGAAAACATTTAGCGCGATCCGTTGTTTTCGCATTCCAAACACACTCAGGCGTCGTTGCTAAATTTGAAAATAACAACATCGAAAACATATTCGACTTAGACAGCCACAGCCAGCCTACTGCCTGACTCAGTGCGGGTGGTCGCGAAAACAAGTCTGCTGCGATCAGGCATCACTCGTCGCGTCGCTGCTGCGATGCTACCGCGCTGATTGAGGAACTAGCTGAGAGACAGCTCTTGCAAAACTGGCTTTTCACTCACTCGCGAAAGGAAGAATGAGGTGGACGAGGAGTGCTTGAGCACCCCCTCGCTAGCGACCTTTGAACTTTCTGAGTTGGAATGCTGGAAGTGGCGTTTTTCTGCGAAAATGAGCTTCACGTCACTTTCGCATAAGTATCTTACGGCTTTGGCTTGGAGTCTAAGTGTCATCATCTTCTGTGATTTGCTAATTATAAAGCTAGTCTATTCCTAGGGGTATGTAACCGGACTGGTTTCGTCATTTCGTATGCTACCATGCAACCAACTTTGAAGTTTATTGTCCGGAGAATAAGCGCCGTATTCTGCAGTCTTTTGAGAAGAATCCGATGGATCCTCGTGGAAAAATCGCTATAGTTACAATGTTTTAAAAAGTGACACGTTACATCATTTTTGAACAAGCAGTCAATGGACTTCATAAACGTAAACTTGTGCGTGAAAAAATGTCGATTTTTGCGTTTTGCTCAATATATACGGAGGTGAAATGACTGGTTACAACCAGTCATTTCACCTCCGTATTGGTTCCTTCTCGAAAAAGAAAAGAGAAAGAGAAAAGGCGAGTAAGGAGTGATTTCAAATCGCATTACTCTTTATTGCATTTCACTGAATTCGGAATATGTAAATAACCCTAAACTGCACAAAACCCAGATCTGGACGAAATAGTTGCAGAAAGTAAAAATTTCTCTTCCACCGAAACCATTCTTTTTGCATGCTCGCCATCTTTATTTCATCGCCATACAAAGACCTTTTACCCTAATTTCACGCACACAAGGCGCGGGGGATTGTTTCCAAAATCGACTAGCCCAAATATGCCAAAGGACTTCGCAACCAAGGGACCCTATAGTGTATTCTAAATTGCTTAAGAGAATCGTCTTGCATAAGAATCGCTTTCCGAAACACACTGAAGCGGCTAAGCAGCTCGCTTGAAAAAAAAGAAAAAGGTGCGTTTTGTACGCGTGAAATTGGGGTAAATCAAGATGTTCCATGTTTGGTATACTTTCTGCAAAATCTGCTTCTTTTTTCATTTCAAGCTTTTAGCCTGTTTTTGCAGCCTGTTCTCTTCGATCAGTGCTCAGGTTTCTTTTACTTGGGCCTTGGATCGCAAGTTCATAGCGCAAAGGGAGCGAAGGCACGTATCATGCCAATCGTTTTCTTTCCTTAATCATTTTCATTATTTGCGAATTGATTAGCTGTCCTTGCGATCAACTCGCTTGCCTTCACCGCCTCGAGTAACGTCCTAAACTACGAATTACGACGAAGAGTGTCTTCAGCAGTAGTGGAGCGAGCTGATCACGTTCCATTTAGTGGTAGTTTTATGTTTCCTGTTTTCAGAGAGTATGGATCGCGCGCTCTCAACAAGACGCGCGAGCTAAAAATAGCAATCGCGGCGCGGCACTCTCCCACGTGCATTGTCCCTACAGAAGAGTCGGTTTGTCGCAGCCCTCCACCGTTCGCGCGCTGCCTGCCCGCCCGCTGTCGCGACGCTCTCCGCCGCGTGCACGCTTTTCGCCCGTCGTGGCTGTCGGCATCTCCGCTCGCTACGAGCTGTTTCCGCTTCCGTGCCTGCGCTCGTCTCCGTGCGCGTCTCTCTCCCCGGGACCCTCTAGCCTGCCTGCGTCTCCGCAGCCGCGATCAAGCCAGCCCCACCCTCTGGTCGCGCTCCATTCTGAAATTTCTGTCCGTGCGCCTGTAGCCATCATATCACCGATCAAACTGTTCTCCCTGTACCCCGAAGAGGTGGCTCAATGCATGAGCGATTGGCCATCGCAGCGGAGTCCGTCGTCGTCGACCTCGTGCGACTCCTCACCCCAGCACGAGTTCCATCCCCTACTCAGATGCAACCCCTTGAAACCCTCCGACATTGGCAGTCACGGTGTCTACCCCCTCACCCGCAGTGTACCCTTCCAAGGTAGCCTGGCCTCTGGTCTGGCCGTCAAGAAACGCCGCTCGTCCAGCTCCCCGGAAGATTCACACTATCGCGAGAAAATTCCTCACCTTGAATCTGCCCTATGTCGGTCAAGAGCGTCCGAATTGGAACCGGAGGAACCATCTACCTCAACCGGGTTAGGTCTACCGGTGTCTTCACCTCCTAATACTGAGAATTCCTCTCCTGATAGAAAGGATGTTAATTTGACTGCGGAATTATTTTGGCTGAAAACTCATCTCTCTGAGCATTGGTCGATGAAGTGGTTGTGGCAGGTGAGGTCGGATGTTTCGTAAGAAGTTATAAATATCATTTTCACCTCCGATTTCTCACAGTGCCATCCTCAAGAAGTACCAATTTTAACTCGTTTCTTTCACCACCTCGATCTATCCGTGCCTTCATTCTGGTCCCTCTCATTTTCTTTTCTTCATACATCAATCCATCATTTTTTCGACCAAAATCCTTTTTTCATCGAAGTTCCTTTCCCTTTCCTTGTCAAATGTACTCAATATCAGTGACAGTCTCGTGCATGTTATGTTACACATCAAGCCATTGCAGTAATTTTGTTGAATCTAAAACGAAGATCAGAAACAGGAATCGAATTAGCATTGTTATGCACACCTCTTTTGCGGATCACCAATTGGAAATATCACCCGATTGTCTAGCATCTCTCTTCTTTCTCTCCTGTTTGGCTTCGCGAGGTGTACTATAGAATAATGTCTTGTTTTATGATCTCTTCTATTTTTGGCTACGTCGGCGAGTGCGGTCTGTTTCCGGCAATTTTTCTTCTTGCTTTGTTCCAGTTCCTTTTCCTTCTCATTAGGTAAACCGGAACTTTTGTTAAGTGAATTTGCTCTTCGAATGTACTAGATCTACACGATCTTCCTGCTTCTCCTGTCTTCCTATCTAAAAGCTTTCATGCATCCACTTGCGGTTGACCTTACTCCATTGTGAGCAGCGAGTTTATTACTCTCATTTAACGCTAAAAATAGCCCCCCGGCGGTTGATGAGGACGTCTCGTGATCGAGTGTAAGCCCCGGCGCGTCCGCACACCCGTCTGTGCTTTCTATTTTTGGCTAATGTGAGATGGAGCTTCTTCCTGCTTGAGATTAGAATTACAGTAGAGCGCATTTTGCTTTTTATGTCGTGCATATTCTTAAGTGGAGAGGAGGCTATGAATAGCACAAGTAGGCGATGGAGACGAGTGAGAGTGAGAAAAGAGCCCTAGAGAGCTAGCCTAAGGCTGTGACTATCGATGCGCGCAGATTATCCCAGGTGATAAGCGAGCCCCCTCGCGAGGAGAGTCCCTTTGATAATCAATCCACTCATCCAGCTACTGCTCAGCACCAACTCCGACTCAAATGCTTTCTCCTCTTCTATTCATTCTGCTCCTCTCACAATCCTAGTCCCAAAAATTTCCCAGAAAAATGTCACGGGAAAGCTCGCATTCGCCTCGTTGCTCGGACACTCCGGTAAACTCTCCTCTGCATTCTTTTTTGACCCATCGGAAGCTTTCAGACCCCACTAATATTTACTTGCTTTCAGAACACTGCAAGCCTCGATGACTTCGACCGCATCAAAACGTTGGGTACAGGTTCATTTGGAAGGGTAATGCTGGTAAAACACAAGCAATCAGGGAACTACTTTGCCATGAAGATATTGGATAAACAAAAGGTTTGCTATTTGCGACTCAACGGCTCTCGCAGCTTCTGCCCGCTAGCGCCGAAATCATTTTTAATTTCAGGTTGTGAAACTGAAACAAGTCGAGCATACGTTGAACGAGAAGCGAATTTTACAAGCTATCGACTTTCCTTTCCTCGTCAACATGCAGTACTCTTTCAAAGTAAGTTAATGATCCAATTACCTTTCCTAAAAAGCGAAATATATGGGCTCATTTTATTGAGTGAATATGTACACTTCGATGCTTTGAACGCTTTATTGACATTTTGTCCACGAAAATTTATTTGAAAAGAGTTCAAAATTAATTTCTAAGCTTCTCGTATCTAAATCTACTTGGCACACATACAATGATGGATGTATGATGTTTTTGATTTTTTTCCTTTTTTCTTGTCTCTGAGACACTGAGGCATCAAACTGCCGCCATAGGAGAGCAGCGCCGAATTGTCTTCTAATAAAAAAGAAAAATTTATGTATGTTTGCAAAACTATCATAAACTTATTGGCTGCGTGTGTAATTGCGGCATCGATCACGCTGAATAGAAACTGCAGGAGTTGTCATTTACCATGTAGAGAGCAAATTTGAGATTCTCAGCGAGGTTTCGGAATTTTTCAGAATAAAAAGAAAGATTTTGTCAGAAGTTCTCCTCCAACCTAATAATTTTTGGCCGACCTGTTTTGTTGACATAAGGCGAGTTTTGCACCTCTCTTCCCGTTCAGTGTACTCAGCACCATATCCGATTTCATTACTGCAAAACACTTACTGTTCTTTGTCAGTGATAAAGAGCACATTCTGCAATATTGCGTGCGTGCAGAATATTGATGCAGATTAGCATTTCTACATTATCAGTCTAGAAGTCCGTACCCTCTTTCTGAGCCCCAAGCGCTCCTCTCGCAAATACTTCCGCACCTAGTCGCCGAGCGAGTCCGCTCGTTTCGGCTTGCTCGACGGCTTTCAATTCTTCGCTTCCTCTACCGCCTGTTTCTTTCCGTTGTTTGCTTTGCCGGTATTGACAACGGAGTCGGAAATAGCCTATCACGATCGCTCTCACTCTGCGTTTTTCGAAGACATAGCAATGCACAAAAGCCTTTCGAGAAAGTCGATATCCCATGCATTAAAAAAAAAGTCCAGAAAGTCTTCTGCTATCTGACGAAAATGATCGTCTGCTTTGTAAGAAAGTAGTTTATAGTAGCAGATCTGACGGTTGCGGTGGTGTTTTTGCAGCGGTGACAACATCTGCGCGCAAAAAATGGCCATTGGCGCGAATTACGAAAGCTTCTTGTCTTTACACCATGTTTCACGTGCAGTTGTTTTTCTGAACATTATAATAGTCAACGAGTTTATAGGGCTGAGGCTAATATTGATTCTCAAGCAACTGAGAGGAATGCAGGACTTGTCTATACCCAAATTAACATCCTTTAAGACCATAATAGGTACTTGAAACCCTTTTCAGCCAAGTGATTAACGTGCTAATACTCGTGTTTTAACTCATTTTGGTTAACTTACTACTTGAAAAACACTGATTGACAAGTTTGAACTTGTTAAACAACATATGCATTGGCGGTCGTGAGTGTCATGTTCTCAAAATATGGTGTGATTATAAACGGTGCAGGTTCAGACACCACACACAAAATCACGACATGATTCTTGTTCTAAAACCAATTTTCCGAACAGATCCTTACTTTTTGTTTCCTTTTGCATATTCGGATACGGCTACAGTCAATTTTTTTTGCAAAAACTCCTTGTTCACATGCAAAAATCATCTATTTATTAGAGAGCGAAGTACATTCTAATTTCATCAAAATCGACATCTCTATTCATATAAATGTACATTGTAGTATGACGTGGCCGTGCCTCATTCATAACTCTGTACTCTCACGTTTTGCTATTCTAAATATAACACATGTATCATTATTCTCGAAATGCGATACAAAAAAGGTTTTAAATTACCTCGTACCAAAATAGAACTTCAACTGATACTCGCTCGCTCGTACGCGGCATGATGTGTGCCATGTGTTGGGTACAAATGGCTCTGATACAATGTTACTATTGACACAGGATTATTTATGAGCTTGAGCAAAGGAACATGGTTTATAGCTTAGTTTATGGCTTTTTTAGGAATATGGTATAGTTTGGATATTTTCATGAAGCTGATCCAACGTCTGTAACAAACAGCCATTGACAACAAATTTTTGCACTACTTTCTCATTAAAATTCATGACGGCATCATCAGGGGCAATGGCTTTCTTACTGATAGTTGATATTAATATTAGCAAGGAGTGCAGTCTTGTGGAGCTTATATTGACCCTCAAAAAATGTTTATTCGGAATATATCCCAGTCAAAAGTTTTCGACAAAGTGAAAAATTTGAAGAAATTTTTTCACATATGGTAGTCGCCGTCATTATCACTGCTTGAAATCATTTTTTCCAAGCCACTTCAAAGTTTCAGCATTTCTGAATTGAATGGGTAAACGAAACAGGCTCTATAATCTTTCCCATAGGAGTTTCAGATAGATTCGAAAGTACCATGTGACACTGCTAAGCGAGTTAAGAGTGCTTATTAGAGCGAGAGTCGTCAAAGCTTACAAGGGAAGTGTCAGAACTCGCAGTGGTCTTTTGACATGAAATAAGTATCATCTGAAGCAGCTTGAAATGCTGATTCCAAAACAGCCTTTCTTAGCTGCAGAACTAATCTACGACGAGAGTTATTGAATTTAATTTGCGAGAAATTTACAACGCTGAGAACAGTCAAAAATTAAAGCGAACATTTTTTTGGGCTCAAACATAGATGAAACAGTCCATCAATGTTTAACGTAATCCTACGCCTTCATCAAAGTCATGCTGTTGTGCTTGAACAAGCATTTGAAAGGTTCCCGTGATCATAGAGTACTGCAAACAATGTAAAATTTAATGTTTAAAATGCACATAACTCGCGACCCAGATCAGTTCTGCAGCTAAGAAAGTTTGTTTTGGAATCAGCATTTCAAGCTGTTCAAGACGGTACCCATCCCATGTCAAAAGGCCGCTGCGACTTCTGACACTTCCCTTGTTAGTTCTTCTAGTTTTCTATTTTTGAATAAAACTCTTACATTTATTACACGGAACAGAGAACTCTATTTTGATATAATTCCGTCAATACGTATCATTTGAAGTTATAGCGAAGATTGCCTGTCATATTTTTTGATCTCAATACATGATGTCTTTACGAACTGGCAATATTTGCGCGTGAAAATGGTCATTGCGAGCACATCCACATCCATAAAATTGTATGGCTTCAATTTGTCAATCGTCGGCATGTATCTATTAAAATCTCGCAAACTGTAGAATTTCTTTTTTCAATCTTTAGGGCGCCTGTCCGCATATAGTCGAGAGCTCCCAAATCATCCCATGGAGTTGTAGAGCTTCTCCCAGTCCTCTCTCTACAGTAGTTTTGTGGACAACGTGGCACACGGCTCTCGTCTAGTACATGTCACCCGCACTTTTTCCCACCACCATCTCGTATTTCACTTTTTTCATCATTTGTACGAAATTTTGAACATATTGAACATCCAAACACTGTCAGTCTGGCCGTGAGCGGGGGCGCTTTGGTCAGAAACAAACAATGGATATTTGTTATTAGTACGTTTTGTCATGAATCGATCTGTCTACATCAAGAGTACATAGGACAAGCACACAGCTCATATTGCAGTTATTGATTGATTGATTTGCATTGGGGGTTGAGTTTAGCTGAAATGGAGTGTGCTAGCTTTTATAATGTAGAATCGACTCGAAGTTTTAGTTTTCAAACAGGTTTCAGCTTTAAAACAGGCTCAGGGTAGTTGAGTACAGCGCACTCCTTCTGAAAATCATGCTACGAACATGTCTATGCATTCCATTATCCGAGAAGGGGAGGGGAAGAAGCGGGGGGGGGGCAGAAAGAGGAGAGAAATGCAAATAAGCCAAACAGGGCGCCGAAAGGGAAGGATGGTCTTCTTCTGGACAGAATATATGATCATTGATCTTTTGTAAAACCAGCCGTAAGCTTCACACTCGCTTCCGTAATTTCAATATCCACTGAAGCGGTCCTCGGGACACTCAGAAACTAATAGCAGCGTCTTCAGAGAAAGCATGACTTTCTTTTGTGCAAAAAAGTACATGATCGGTCTTCTGTGAACCTGTGGATCTAAAAACAGTTCATGTATATGATGAAGGAGTAGTACTTACAAAATTAGCGGGTGTTGCCGTTGCTTTTTCCCATAATCAGAACATTTCAAAAATGCTTTTTTCACGATTACTTATACTGAATTTTTACAGGATAACTCAAACCTCTATATGGTGCTCGAATTCATTTCCGGTGGCGAAATGTTCTCTCACTTACGCAGGATCGGACGGTAAGCAGAAGCCACATCAAATCCGTTCTGTCGAAACTAATTACTCTCTTCGTTGCAGCTTTTCCGAGCCACATTCTCGCTTCTACGCCGCTCAGATCGTGCTAGCATTCGAGTACTTGCACTCGCTCGATCTGATTTACCGAGATTTAAAACCCGAGAACTTGTTGATTGACAGCACGGGATACTTGAAGGTGGGTGGTACAGTATCGAAGCTGCTTACAATAGGGGGTGAGGATGGGGAGGGGAGACGGTACAGTGCACTTGGACCATGCTGCAGATGCATGCAGGGGTCATGCTGTGACAGGAATTGAGAACCTAAACTACTGGACTTTAAGGGATCAGAAAACAAGAAGGTATTCGTCCAAAAATAACTTGCAAACAGTCTATTTCAAAAATGCACTTTTTATTCACAATGGCCATTCTTATATATCGTAGACTTGTTTTGTTAATGTAGATGATTTGTAGTTTTTCTAAGTTTGTAATAATTTCTACGAGGAAATTTGCGTAGAGACAAATACCTCGTTTCAATTTTTTTGTTTTTTAGATCACGGATTTTGGATTCGCGAAACGGGTCAAGGGCCGTACCTGGACCTTATGTGGTACACCTGAATATTTAGCGCCCGAGATCATTTTATCCAAGGTGAGTTCAAGGTGTCTACTGTCATCGTACTGTAGATGGGTATGTTTGATTTTCTTGCCAAGATTTATTGCGTAATTTTTAGGGTTATAATAAAGCCGTAGATTGGTGGGCTCTTGGAGTTTTGATCTATGAAATGGCAGCCGGATATCCACCGTTCTTCGCCGACCAACCCATTCAAATTTACGAGAAAATCGTTAGCGGGAAGGTAAGTAGTGTAGAGATGTAAGCCTGAATATAGTGCATCTGCGGTGCTGACAACAATTATGGGTATTAATGTAAAAATGGCAGTGAAAAGCAACATCTAAATATATGTTACATGGTCATTTTTCTTGCGCAAGTGCTATAAGCATACAAATGCTGTTATGAGAATTTCGAGTTCTGAATAAGGCAAACAAACATATTTTGTTGTTTTTGAGTATATTGACAACCTGTGCGAGTTTTTGTTGGCTGCATAAAAATTTCGTAGTATCTTCTGGTATAAGTGCAGTCTAGTAGATTCGATGGTTAATATAGTGTCGCTGCGGTGCCTTCATTTGCCGACAACATATGCGCGTGAACGAAATGCCAGAGGGTGTAAATCGCAAAGTTTCGGCATTACACGCATAGTAATTTGTTCACGCGGTTGTCTGCAGATGTCAGCACCGCAAGGACTGTATTGACCGTTAGATGTTTGTCTGTACGAGGCTTTGTTAACGTTCAAATTTTCTGCACAATTTGCTGATCATATGAGCCTCGTCAAGTAATGAAAAGTGATTTCAGGTGAAATTCCCATCACATTTTTCGAACGAGCTGAAAGACCTGCTGAAGAACTTGCTTCAAGTCGATCTCACAAAGCGCTACGGAAACCTGAAGAACGGTGTCGCTGACATCAAGAACCACAAGTGGTTCGGTAGCACCGACTGGATCGCCATTTACCAACGGAAGGTAAAGATCCATTACTGGTTAAGGCCATATAGTCGTTCTCGTACTAACTGCACGACTACCAGCTGGTCCCGTTGGGATCTTTCTGCCAACGGTGCCATACAGTGGTGCCTTTCTGCATGATGTTTTGTTTTGCTTTCATAGAGTAGCTGGATCGGCTGCGACTTCAGCCACGATTGGTCCATGTGCGTCAGTGAGAAATAATTATTTTACAATTCAAAGCATTCCCAGAGCAAGGCGAATTATATTATACATAGGTTGTACTTTGTGCGGATAATTTATTATCAGCTGAGAACATCAGCTTTGTTACACACTGAGGAGTATTTTTACATCGTCAGAAATTTATTTCTCGCTTTCGAATCAATCTAGAAAAAGTTCAACATCTTAGTAAAAATACATGCTACTTATGGGAAAGAACTCCAGATTTCGAAGACGAAAAATATGTTGGATGTCAATATCCCTTTTTCGAACGTTCAGGTCTTCGAAGGTACTATCGCGGACGAATTATTTCTATCCATATGAGAGTTCAAAAATAAGTTAGAGAAAGTATAAACTTCATAAAAACTCATGAATTTGAATTACTCTCTCAAATTTGCCATTTTCGTGTTTCGTGTTCATTAAGGTAGCTATGCCAAATTTTGTTTCCTTCCCATAACTTTGGTTCCTTTTGAAGGGAAGAAAAAACAACGACCGTGTATACTTTCCGGCGTAAGAGTGCCTGGTACGCGCGGTAATTTTTGCCACGATAAAAAAAGCAGGAAGGTTTGTTCACGCTGATTTTCTTCATAGTTTCGAGTTCAAATTTCAGTGCATTCAAAAAATAAATCGCAAAGTCAATATAAAATTCAATAGCGTCTAGACATTGCATAATAGCAATGCCTTTGCCTCTGCACTTTCTGATGCGTATTGCCTCGCTAGCTCTTTGAAATATTTTATTCCTTGCTGGCTTCGCCTGCATTCTTTGATGTATCTCAAGAGGCTATGGGTGGGCTGCGTCTGATTTACTGGAACTTCAAGCTTCTACATTATCATCTAACTGACCCACTCGAAACTTCTCAATCGTGACGAATTCGCATGCCGATTTGTTCTGTTGTGTGATAGCTTGTGTTGTGTAGATCACGCCGGCATCGTTCTCGAAATGCGAGCCAGGCCGACTGTTCGAGGCGCTCTATCCACGCGTCGAAGGTCCAGCTGATACTCGACATTTTGTCGAAGATGTAAAGGAGCAGGAGAACTGGACCATCTCCGAGGAGAATCACCACGCCGATGTCTTCGCCGACTTCTGAGGTTACTACTATCTCCACCTCTTTTCATTTTCAAGCAAGCCAACAGTGCTGAGATGTGTAGAGCAGTTGTGTGTGCATGCCTTTTTTTGCTAGTCCTTTTACGGGTAGTCTGTTGCTTTCTATTGTGTCGCTTGTCAGCATGACTAGAATTTTCGGTTTTCTCAGTTCAGTGTCAGATTTTCAACGTTACTAAGCGACTACCACGACCGCTGCCTCACTGATTTCCAAAACAGAGGCGTCTTTGGCAGGAGACAGAAGTTTCTTCCTTCTTCTTAACTATAAACGAAAACACTTGTTTTTAAAGAATGTAGGCGCAGGAATACCATTGGTAGGCGTAGCCTTCGTGGACAACTAATCCTTGTACGGTATGCAATAGCATGCGCTAAAGGAGCTCGCGAAGGCGGCGCCTGCTAACGGTAATTCTACCTCTACATGATGTAGGTCGTTAGAATGACCAGTTGTCGCAGGAAATCCATGCAGGACCATGTAGTAACGTTGGAAAAATAGCCGTTTTTTTATATTCGAGGCTATCAAGAGGGATAAATTTGCTTTTGAACTCAAAATCCTTGCTTATTCTCAGATGGAGATATTTCATTAAACCCAAACAATTTTTGAAAAACATCACCGTTTGGTTTTGTCATGCTTGTATCGCTTTCATTCTGAGATTCATTACCTGCCATTTTTGAACCGGCACAAAAATGTTGCTGGTACTGATTCTATCAAATCCCAGGTCCGGCCATCGATGAATCTTGGCATGACTGTGTAATCTTCTATCAACTGATGTAGCGTAGGCCAAGATTGGTAGATAGATTTATTGGCTTACGTACGTTTCGGCGTCTCCGCCTTCTTCAGAGCCTGGAAACGTCTAAGATATCTTCGACGTTTCCAGGCTCTGAAGAAGGCGGAGACGCCGAAACGTACGTAAGCCAATAAATCTATCTACCAATCTTGGCCTACGCTACATCAGTTGATAGAAGATTACACAAAAATGTTGTTTGTAACTTTTTGAATCAGAGCTTAAGGCAAAAACATACCTCACGCGATTTCTCGCGACGCGATTTGGAAATACTACTCCAATTTGTGGCTTTCTAAATGTACGAAAGATAGGGCATTTTATCAACCTACGAAAGTTATACGTGCTGCCTTTGAGGTCTACTAGTATATAAAAGACATCTGGCTAATTGCCAGATCGCGTGGCGACTGCAATCGCGTGAGGTATGCCTTTGGAGTAAGGGTACGAATGCTTGCATTCGTATCTTTCAGCCCATCTGCAAATAGTCGAAATAGGTTCGCATTTCAACGATATTGATTCTTTTAAGTCAGTTTGTGTACTTTTTGAAAGTTCGATACTTCTCAAAAATAGCTTTTGATCGTATCACATAGCACATGATTCGTCTAGCTTTCTCTCTTTAGTTTTTGTGAAGACTTCTCAGTCATCTACACTTTTGTCAGCTGAGAGATTTGTTCTTTCAATTGAGCCTCCATCTCCTGCCAAAGTGTCATAATCAAAATTATCCTAAATACATGCGCAGTTCCTTTTTCCCCATTTGTTGGACCTCAAAATGGCATTTTGTAGGTGGAAGCGCCGTTCTTGCCGAAATGTCGTGGTCCAGGCGATGCGTCGAACTTCGACGATTACGAGGAGGAGCCGTTGCGCATATCGGGCACTGAGAAGTGCTCCAAAGAGTTCGCCGAATTTTAAAGAAGAAGTGATTCTCCGTCTGCGCCATACTCCCTTTCCTCGATTCTTGCCGTCTCAGCAGCATCTCTGTGTGTGTGTCTAATATCTGCTAGCATCTCCGCTACCGTAGTAGGTTCCCGGTTCTCCTCTCTGACTGACCGTTTTCGATGTGTACGTTTCTCCCGGTGAGTGCACCCACGCATGTCTTGCCTCACAACTACTTAGAACGCGCTAAACCATCCCCTTCTCTCTTTCTCTCTTCCTCCTTCTCCTCGCCACCCTTTCTAGTCGATTCCATTCACTTTGCCCACATTTTTATGTTGCGTGTAAATCAGTAGCCGTGCCACCTACCCTATTGTGTCTCCCCTTTACCCTGCGCGCTTCCCTTCCGTTCGTCCTCGCTGTTCACTAGTTTGTAGCGACCTCGGCATGATTCAGTCCGTGTGCTAGTCCCTTCGAGCGCGGGCAGTCCCCGCGCTGCCCCGCCTGTGTTCTAAATCTGTACGGATCAAATGTGACATCGTTTCCCTGCTGACAAGTTTGTAGGCTCTCTATTGCGTGGCCTGCTTGGCTGTTCCCCGATTCTCAGCGTTCTCGACGCCAAGCGGTCCAGTGACTTGACAGTGAGGCCAGACAATGAGTATCATTGTGCGGCTTCTATTTGTAAATTTCTATTGTCGTCTTTAATATATTATGTGAATTGGTACTCTTATGATAAGTGATTATAGCTTTAAATTTTGTCAATAAAAGAGTATATGATGTGTACAGTCTCCGTCACATTATGTCATTACGAAAAAAAATCGGTTTTTTTATTTTACGCGGTGTATCCTGCAGCGGTCGCAAGGCTGCTTGCGGAATTGGGTGCAACATCCGTGCCGGCGCCGTGCCCGCCGTACCTGCGCCAGTTGAGGCACCGTATCATCGATCAACCTAAACAGCATCTAGAAATAGCTTTTTATTGCTTTGTTTTCCATTTTCTTCTCCGCAAGATGCAATGGAAAACATTTAATTCAACAACTGTTACCCCAACACGTGACTATCTGTAAGAACGTTTTTGCCGACAGGTGTTTCAGTGTAAACCCAATAATCTATTCAAAATTGTCATGTAATACACTGAGGTACATGCTTTCTCCAGCAGGGAGCATTGAGAGTAATCGAAATCAGGAAGCAAATATGTGCTATTTGAGAAAAAAGTATGCAGCTGTTGTGCTTTGGTATATCTCTACAAAGTTCTTCGACTTTAATCAGGACACTGAAAATACGCCAGCTGTTTTTTGAATTTCCTTGAACTATTTTGAGTTCTAAGTGACATTACAGATAGCGTAGCAGAGATTAAGCATAGTAGCGTGAAACTATGCACAGTGATTAACACGTTGACGACCTTGTGTATCCGCACGTATGCACGCCCTGACTCCCGTTTAGCATTTTCGTGCATCCGCGCATATGCACGCTAGTTTTTTAGGTGCAAACGAGAATTTTTAGGGTAACTTCTGTGCAGTAATACTATTAGTGGCCTGATTGTCTTACAGAACACAGGGCATCGCGGCAGCTGTTCAGAAGTTTTGGCCGCAAAATTGGGTAAACAGTACGTTTTTGATGTTGTCAGTATATGCTAAGTACGTTTTCTCAAGAAGGTGAAAACTCTGTATAGCTGTTTCAAAATCAAACAAAGATGAATCAGGCAAAAAACATCTGGTTTTACAACGCTTTTCTCGAAGAGCGATTCTTCAGATATAGCCATTGCATGGATTATTGGAGGGAAAATCGATGCAAAAACCTTGATTTGTGTAAGTCCTGGTAAGGTTCTGTGATATACCTGTATGTTTGGACAAAGTTCGCATGCTTTATCAATAAGTGACAAAAAGACTCCCACATAATGTTTTCGTGCATCCGCGCGTATGCACGGGCCAAATGCGCGAAGGACGTTAGTGGGAGTTTCACCCAAAATGGCGCGGTCGTCAACGTGTTAAAACACCTTCGAGGAAATCAACTATTTGCGATACAACATAAAAAATGATAAGAAAGGAGTGATTAATTTTTGGCTAAGGTATCTTGGTCGAGAGTGCACTCGGAAATCATACTTATAAGGGAAGGATACCAACATGATCTGGTAAACCAAAAAGAGATGTAGATTTAAAAACTACCTTAGAACGTTGATACCAAATCTGCTTTCGTTTTCTGCGGATCAACTCTCCGAAAGAAGTTATGAGCGTTTGAAAATCCAAATTTGTCAAGTCTTAAGTGGCATAAAATTGGCGAAAGCTGTACAAAAACTCGTGAAAGTGGGTTATCAGTTTTGTATCAAATATACTGACTACAAGGACGAAACACAGCAAGTAGAAGCCCCTAGGTGTTGTTTTAGAGCTTTGAGATAGGTAATTTTGAGCCACTTCAAACATGACGAATTTAGACTTTCAAACTCTCATAACTTCAAGAAAAGCAGATTTGGAATCAGTGTTTGGAGGCGACCTACTGATGTACATTTCTTTTTGGTTTGCCAGAGTATGTTGGTATCCTTCCCTTGTTAGACTGGAACTCGTCGTATACCTGGATAACAATTACCAAAGACAATCCATGAGACCGTCAACCTTTTCCCTGCTCATCTCCTTTATATCAAATTCAAAAATAGGTGAAAAACTGTCAAGTTCATGAAAGCAGCTAATGATTCAGACAGTTATTGTGGCAATATTTAAAACTTACTGCGTTATATCAACTTACTTCGTTATATTAGGTTCTCGTGTAAGAGCATTTTCGAGGCAACCATGCTCCTTCTGCGCTTCTTGCGACCGACTTCGTTTGTTATCATAAGAAATAATGTTCTTTCCAAAATGTCTCTACCGTTAGTTCTGTGTTTGGAATTTTCAAGTTTTCAGATAGGAAAACACAAAGGTTTTTCTCCAACTGTTTGACTAGACATTTCGCAAAAATGATATTCTCATACCATAGCTACAACAAGATGCTGAAAGGGCCTACAAAATACATGTTGTAAAGCATTCCTCTAGTAATTCTGGAGCAGAGAAATCAAGTTTGAACATGATCAGTTCTCGGGCAGTTGATGACCTGCAGATCTTTCTGAAGACTAATTCGTGACCGTTGCGTTGAGAGTGAGATTAAAGCTATCAGAAAGGCCTTTCAGGCTTCGTCAATGGTAAACATATAAAACCAAAAATTCTGCAAAGTCATAGCCCATGGAGAACAGGGCCAGAAATGGAAAATTTTGAGATAACAATCTATTGTTCAGAATCTGCATACTTCTATGACAATACTAGTACTGTGACCGCATTCATCAACGAACCCAGTGGGTAGGCGAGAGTAGTGCCGCTGGGCTGAATCGATATTCACAAAAAGCACAGCTGGTGCGAACCCACTAGCTTCAATACCTCGTGATCTCGTGGGTTACAGGCAGCGGCTCGGCAGAATTTCAACTTCGGGGTTTTGGCAGATTTGGGGCTATTCTGGCCCTCTGAATCACGACTTGAACTCCGCTTATGGGGAAAACCCCGTCTGTTGCAACCACCCTTGAGGCGGGCGCGGACGAGTGAGCCGTTTTTCTCTGCCGTCAGAGACGCAGAGTAAGGAGGTAGGGAGCGCTAGAACAATTCTGCCCTACGAAGCTACGAGCGACGGCGCGTTTTCTAGCGGAGAACATACTCGTCCAAACAAGGTGTTAGGGGAGCGAAAGGAGGAGGGGGAGCGGCGGTTGGGCCGCCCGCCTGGCTCGCAAAGTTCACATTTTCGGCGCGGAGTTGCTGTTTTGGTTCACTTGGAGGGCCTCCTATCCATCTATGTCAAAATCTGAGGTAGGTTCATACTGCCGAGACGCTGCCTTTAAGCCTGCCCAGTGGGTTGCGGAACCACTGGGTTCGTTGATGAATGCGGCCTCTGGTCTGTATCTAGGTAGTGTAGGAGTTTTCGGTTGAACACTCGTTTCTAAAAAGAGTCACAATTTGTCAAAGCTGACAGTGCTGAAACTTCTTTCTTTTTTCTGGTACTTTTGCAAGTCGCCTGGGTGCTAATGGCGCATGTGGTAGAGGAAACTTTGCTGATTAATATAGATCTTATCCCACTTTGGAAAATGAGAGGTGATTATGATTCTTCCAACTGCAAATTGCGACCTGCTTCAATCTCCTAACCCAAACGTTGGAGTTCCAACAGGCCCGTCCTCGTGTAGACTTATGGTTAGGCAACGCATGCGAACACATTTACAATCGTGTATCGAACTCTGCTCAATGAAGTGTGTCCTACACTGTCCTCTCTATTTGGCAGATGTTAATAACTAACAGACATTTCGAGGAATTGTTACATACTCAATGCAGAGTTCCCATACCTTACTTTGAGTTATGATTCCACTAAAATTTGGCGAAAACGCCTACTCTGACAGACTACAACTCTCTAAAGATTAAGCCTGATGTAGCAAGTCAGTAGTGGTGCACGAACAAGAGTTTTTGGAAAAATTTTACGAAATAGGGAAAATTTCTCAGGTTTATTTTGCAAAGCACAATTACTTACTTACTTAGATACTAACATGACCCGTTTACAGGGCCGCGCAGAAGTTTCCATTGTTTTCTGTCCTCCGCTCCTGTCACAATCTTCTTGCGTCCGTCCACGAGTTCCAGGCAGGGCCCGGCACGCGTTGGTTTGAAGCGTTTCTGGAAACGAAGTCCGCCATGACTTCGCGAAAATTTACGATTCCCTCTTGACGTAAAAATCAGTAGAGAAACCCCTAATTAGTCAAAATAACATTAAAAAAGCGAAAAAAGCGCATTTTGAGGTAACTAATACAACAAAAAAAGCAAAAAGAAAACATTTCGAGTTGATTAAAGGCTCTGCCATTGGGTAGTGTACCATTTCAGCGCTCAAAATGTCGAGAACCTCTTAGGCCAGCCAAATCTGTAGCCTCAACAATCTGGCAGTGCATTTTTCGCCACATAGTTCAAAGGACACCGCGTATGATTGGAGCGCAATATCTATCAAGGCGTATAGATTTGCACTACTTTTGGCTCAAAAGAAGAGGAGAGGCAATAGTTTGATTCGCTCTCTTCACTATATAATAGATTTTTGAGCGTTTTAATCGTCCAAATCAAAAAGGTCCAAAACTTATGTGAACTCTCCGAAATTTATGCTCCGAACCAACCCAGTTGGTTCGGTGGTTGGTCTAAAACCAACAAATCTGGAACGGGTATTCAGACACATAAGTTTT